GGCGAAAGCATTTTTTTTTACTGCTATCGGATGACTACTATCAGATGTAAAAACTTATACCCTTACTTATTTAGGAACAGCATTATTCACATACAATAGCTAAAAATATCTGTGACATTAGAATAAAATTACTGATAATAAAATAAAATTATTGAATATTATAAATTATTAATAAATTATTAGATAATAAAATTACTTGATGTTTAAATTTTTAAACGTGCTATTTTTTTCGAAGTTTTGTAAAAACAACTTTCAGCTATTACAGAGATAGACCAATCGGTGGCGCCATTTCGTAAACAAATCGAAATTAGTGCCGTGTTAGCGGAGAATTATTATGCTAAATGAACTTTACGAGATCAGTTGACTGTATTATATATAGGCATTATTTTTATACGCGTGGTGTAGTTTCTTTGAGCAGAAATATTTTTCCCTTAGAATACTTCTTTTTTTAAATTTATTAATGACACAGACATACATTAAAATTTTTATTAAATGCGAAAAAGACATCGAGTGTCACTTAATTACTTTTGTAAATCTTCTATTTATTCTTTATTATTACTTCTGTTGTCAAATATTTATCTATACTTATCAATTGTCTAAAAAAAATTTGATAATAACAAATTTCTAGGCAAACTTTCATCCCCTATTTTTCGCGATAAAATGTAGCCTTTGTCCTTTCTTAAAGTTAAGTCTATTTACTATATTAATTTCCATTTAGATGGGTTCAGTTGTTTAGGCGTCTAAGCGTAACAACACTTATTTATCTTACCTTAAGCTATCGATACTTTTAATACGATTCTAAAATCTAGCTAAGTATCGATACTAGAACCATACGCTGATCAAATTAGAACTTTACCGAGTTTGCCAAAGCATATGCAGTGATATATACCAACTATATTGAATCATCATATAAAATATAGCATTTTATAATCAACAATAAATATCGATTATAAGTTTATTGGAAATTAACAATATTGCCGAAATAAATATCGATTCAAATCGATCATTTTTTCCCAAGCCTATTCCTTATGAATTTTCCGGATCTCGGACACAGTAGTGCACAAGCGTAAACACGTTTTTCATTGCCGCCATCACGGAACTGAAAAAACCGGTCCGGAATAGAGAAAAGTAAAATTCCGGACGGTAAAATTCCTGACAGTGCACAAGCGCGCATTACCTACATATGGCCTGACATATCGGACCTGAAAAAATCGGACCGCCGGACATGAAAATTCAGTGTAGTGCACAAGCGCCCAAACAGTACATTTTGGGTCTAACTTTATTTGTTAAATACCGATGCAATTTTCATAAGCGAATCACTATGAAAGTAATTAAAAAAAAATCATTGAGTCCAAAGTCAAGACAGAATTTTTGGGTTTTCTCGTATGTATAGAAAGCTTAAAATACTTGTAGGGTGAGGTGTTGAACAGTGGCTATGCCAGATACAGTGGCTCAGTAACAGTATGAGGGTATAGGATAAAGATATAGAACTGCCTCTTTCACTCATAGGTAGTATTTGGGATACCAACTTGTCACAACTAGTCGAGCAGCGCCTACGCCGCGGAGTGTGTGTGCTACAAGCATTTATTATAATTTTGAAAAATATATTTACTTTTAAGGTAAGATATTTTCTGTTTCAACTCAAATATAGGTTTTTTTTTTACTATTGCTTCATTTCAACTGTTGATAGTATTAAACAAAGGTTATTTTCACGTATAAAAACATTTGATATTATGAATATTATTTTACCTACATGCTTTGGAATTCAAAATGGCGATTTCGTACACAGTGGCTCAATCAACGAAGGTACACAGTGGGTCTTGATTCACTGTGTACTACTGGATTATTGTACTACTGGTGTGATTTTATCAACTTAAATAAGAAAGTGTTACCTACTAATTTAATATTATGCTTACTTACAATAATCATACTTATTTGTCGCTTACGGACGTGTTTTTGGTTTTGCTAAAATTAGGTTCTTTTATTTTTAGGATGCCACGTTCAGAAAAACCCCGTTCTATCGGGGCCCACACTGAAGAAAATATGAGAGATGCTTTGCAGGCAATACAAAGAGGTATGAGTGTGAGAAAAGCATCAAAAGATTACAACATTCCTTTTACTACTTTAAGGCGATATTACCTGAAATCAAAACATTTTTCTTCTGTTGAATCCATGCGGTTAGTACCTCACTATGACGTAAATAAAGTATTTTCTAATAATCAGGAAAAGAGTCTTAAAGAATATATTACATATTGTTCGGCTTTATTCTATGGTATGACATCAAAAGATACAAGACGGGTCGCATACGAAATGGCAAAAAATAATAATTTGAAAATGCCTGAAAGCTGGAATGTCCAAAAAATGGCGGGAAAAGAATGGCTGCGGAGCTTCATGCGAAGGCATCGAGACATTAGTTTGAGAAAACCTGAAGCGTGCAGTCTTGCACGCGCCACAGCCTTCAACAGGTCAAATGTTGAAGTATTTTTCAATAACTTAGAGACATTGATGAAACGATACCCAGAATTAGGAGCAAATCGTATATTTAACTTAGATGAAACATCCACTACCACTGTACAAAAGCCTCAGCGTGTAGTGGCACCCAAAGGTCGCCGCAATGTAAGTAAAGTTACGAGTGGAGAGCGAGGAACTCTCGTAACAACTTGTTGCATCATAAGTGCGGGTGGTATAGCACTACCTCCTGTTATGGTGTTTCCAAGGAAAAATTTTAAAAATTTTATGATCAAAAATACACCTCCTGGTACTTTGGGGTTAGCAGCATCAAGTGGTTGGATGAATTCAGAAATTTTTCCAGAAGTTATCCGGCACGTAATAAAACATTCCAATTCTACACCTGAAAATCCTTGCATATTAATAATGGACAACCACGAGTCGCACTTGTCGTTAGAAGCACTAAATTTGGCCAAAGCTTCAGGAGTTCACATTTTAACTTTGCATCCTCATACATCAGCAAAATTACAACCCCTCGATGTTGGGATCTATGGCCCATTCAAGACCTATTATAACGGAGCCATAGATTCATGGTTGATGCAACATCCTGGAAAACCTGTAACCATTTATGATGTAGGCGAAATAGTTGGTACGGCCTTCCTCAAAGTAATGACACCAGTCAATATTATTAATTCGTTTAGAAAATGTGGGATTTACCCATTCGACCGCAACATTTTCACTGAAGATGACTTTATGCCAAGTACAGTGACAGATCGCCCGTGTCCTAATGACGAGGATCAAATTGTAAATTCACCTGATCATGATACCACCGCCGACGCTCCGATGCTCCAAGCTCCTAGTTGCTCCGATGACGCCGAGTTACCTATTCACAATCAGTCACCAATCCCTACTTGCTCAAACTTTATTGATAATTTGAATTTAGCAAATGAACCGGCTACCAGAGAAAATTCACCATCGATTATTATTAACTTTTTTGCTGAAAATAATTTGGACTTAGAATTAGGATCACAATTAGATTCATCAAGGCATATTTCTCAAATACTGACGGAATCCACTTTACAATCTAATACTTTAAGCAAACCTATTGAATCGCCGATGCGTACCACTGAAGTAAGGAAGAGTCCTCATTTTATATCCCCATTTGAATTTAGGAATCCTATTAAAGCTGGGCCTAGAAAATCTGAACGGAAATCCAGAAAATTAGGACGTAGTATGATAGTAACTGATACCCCCGAAAAACAAGAAATAGAAAAGGCTAAATCTAAATAAAAAGTACATCCAAAACAAAGAAAAGTGATAAAGAAGGTATTACAAAGTGACTCTGAAGATCAGAGTGAAGAAGATCAAAACATTAATGTAGAATACCAGGAATCAGATGAAGATAACGAGTGGCCAGATGATGACATCGAAAATGAAACAATTTGTTTGACAGAAAATGATTTCACTGATCCTCTACCAAGACCGCCTCGAGAGGGTGAATTTGTTTTAGTAGAGTTTTCTACTAAGAAGCAAAAAGTTTTTTACATTGGCAAAGTGCTAGAAAGCAGAAATCATAATCTTGACTATTACATTAGCTATCTGCGTAAGAAGGCCCATGGTAAATATGCCATGCCTAATAATCCTGATTTGTCGATTGCAAAAGAGCGCGATATTAAATATATATTGCCAAAACCCACTTTTGGAGGCAGCACCATGAGACAGCAATCTTATTATTGCTTCCCAATCGATTTTTCGAACCTGAATGTTCATTAAAATGTTATAGTTTCGTTTTACTTATTAATTATTAAGAGATTTAAGAAGTTGTTTTGTTTGATTATATTTGATTTGTTTTGAATTGACATTTAGTCGATATAACCAAAAAAGCCATTTGCATTTAATGTTGCAATGTAGGTTGTAATTGCATTGCAATTATTTTATTAATATTTTATTTCTTTTTGGATGCATATTTACTTAGTTACCTAGTTTGTATGACTAAAGAGTCCTAGTGCATTTTATATTTAAGTTTTTTTTAGTTTAACTAAATAAGTTCAAAGTGTTCTTATTTTTTTAATGTTGAAGATGTTTATTTGAAGAGTTGAAGAAGATATTATTGTGATCTCTAATATTGTGACTGATTTTATTACATATTGTACCTAAGAGTTCAAATACTTAATTAAAAACTTGATACTACAGTTTTTTATTTCATTTTAGAATCAATTATCCACTGTTACTGCCCCGATCCACTGTGAACATTAGGGCGAGCCACTGTTCAACACCCAGTGTACACAGTGGCTCATTTTTGACTTTTTAAAAAAGTGTATACATAGTATTATTTTTAACGCTATTCATAAAAACAAGTCACCTATATTAAACTAGATTACATTTCCTACCTACTATCTCAATTTTCGTCTTTCTAACTCAATTCAGAGCTGAGCTACAGCCTCTGGAAAAAAAGTGATCCACTGTTGAACACTTTACCCTACTGCACTTTGATACAAGGTAAACGATTGCAATATATTGCAACGTATAGGTTATCACAAGACCATATTAAAATGTTATTCGATACTATCAGAAGACATGGGGGTTATAACCGTCCCAACCTTAAACTGTTTAAAGAAATTTTCAAAAAAATCCTTCAGCGCTTGGAAATTAAGAAATCGTTTTTAGGAAACTGTGTACCTCTAGAAGATATTCCTGTATTAACGTGTTCATCTTCAGTGAAAAACATTAATTCCACTGTAAGCGGAAGAGTTTTCGATGAATGCGACTCACACGAAGGTAGTTTTGAAGTAACGAATCAAATAATTGAAGAAGCTGATCACATCGTAGATGGAAATGTTAAGGTCCTTTCGATAATTCTGAATCGCGAAAGCATTAAAAAGACCACCGACCAGATCATTGGTTATATTGCAGGATGGGTGAACACTAGCTAAAATACTTAAATGTGAGACATGCATTGAATGTCTTTTTTCTAATAATAAGTTATGGTTTCACAAGATGATAACTCTCAATAATATGGGAGGACTATGTTTCTCCAGTGAAGATGTTTTTCGAATTTGCTTGATTTCAGAAACTGTTATTATAAATCATATCAAAGAAAAGGGTCACAAATTACTTCCCAATCCGAAAGAGATTGAAAATGTTAAAATCAAAATTTAAAAAACTTTCATTAATCGTGACGTATTTATATCGTTGGATCGTCATTCTTTGGCCCAACACCCAATTTTGAATCACAGACTTCACCTTATTCGTGCAGTCATAGAAAAATTTACTAATGTTCGTTTAAACTTCGAACTTAGAAGTAACTCAGACAGTAAAATGGATCATCAGAAACAAAAAAGAAATAAGTTAAATTTATTTGAGGGCGTTTGAAATATTTTAGATGTGAGGTATTTAAGCCTGATTGAAAAAAAAAATTTTTGGGAATCCACGAGTCATGTCAAGGGCAAAAATTTTCAAACCTTGGATCAAAGTTATCAGTCTGTAGAATTAACTCCATAATACAAAAATGTTACCTTTAAATACAAGAAAAGAGTCTAAATGAAAACTAATGACATATTTTCAATTCTCTCGAATAATACAATAACAAACGAATACCTTTAATCTATGAATTGAAAAATCAGGTCAACATGCTACAGATTTACATTTTTGTACTAATTTTACACTGACAATTAAAGATTTTATATTTACTTTTTGTTTTAATGATGTCCTTCCTTCCTTTTTGTTTTAATTGTTCCAAATTCCAAACTGCTTAAGCCTCGCCAAATAATGAGTAACTTTTTCTTTTACTTCGAGTTCAATTTTAAATTGATGTTTAGAGAACGTTTTAATATTTTCTGTAAACAATCAAACCGACTGAAAAAAAGAAAACATCTAGCCCGTTTAGCCAAATTTTTTCTTGATCAAAAGATTACCTTCTATAGATTTATTAATATTAAAAATCTATATTGTATCTTTTTGGTGTACAGATATACTTAGTTTAAGTTTCAACGATCTAATAATCTTTTCAGGCACATCACATTCAAAATATTCTTAAAGATAATTTCTGATTCTGATAAATCACCCAAATCTGAAGATATATTATTAAAAAATTATTGACTTTCCAAAGAATCTGACAAAGAAACCTCTAAGTATAGAAAAAGAGGTAAGGCAAAAGATATCCAGAAATACGAAGTTATACTGCTAAATAAAAAAGACGTTAAAATGATTGAAATAATGTATTAATTACATTTTTCGAAATCAATTAAATATTCAATTGAATAACCTATGATTACAAAAAAATTGTTCCTATCATATTAGAAAATACATTTGATACATTGTTTAACACATTGCCACATTACCTTAATTTATCCGCAACATTTTAGTAACAGAAACAGTCTAAAATTTATAATATTTACAATTATACTTACAATTTAACTGACTAACTTTAAATTTCATAGTTATAAATGTTAAGTCTTATACAATATGTCATGTTTTGGAGATAGCTACCGTTTATAGAAACTTTAGCTGTTTAGTACATGACAAAACTAAACGAAACACTAAAAAGTAAACTAAGAAAACTAAAAGTAGCGGACTTTTGGATTTTACTTCAATACCATCACAATAAATATTGTTAAGATGCAATGGATCTGAAATATCTTGCTGTTGAGCACCTTGTGAATGATACAAAATCAATGTATAAAAATATGTACAGAAAAGTTCTAATAATAGTGACATTTTCTGTTTTATGACAAAGGATTATTTAAAAAAAAGTCCATACATTGAACGATATTCATTTGATTCAGGCAAATAAGTAATTCATTATTCATATTAATTGGTAACAGTGTTTTGGCATTGCAGTTACCCTGATATAATACTAATTTTAAACAGTTCAAAAACAATTGGCAATAATGATAATCGAACGCATACAACGAATTAGATACGTATTTAGTCGATGGTAATAAAAAATAATAAAATATTACAATGTATTTACTAGACGTTGGCACCAACATAAAACATTAACTATATACTAAACCAATTTGCAAGATTTTAGCGACAAAATATTTCTATGGACAAAAACAATATTAACTCGTTTTATGTTTAAAATGGATCTTCCTTTATTATGCGATTGGACTTTTTGTGTATTTGTGGTAATACTAATACACTTATGTGAGTTATGACAAACTTAAAGAAGTTAAACATTATTTTCCTAAAAATATATTTGAGACCTTTAATTTGGTATTAAAACAGGAAAAAAAATAGAGAAAGCTATTGTACGGCTAATATAAAACGACAAAATATCGTTTATGCCCGTGATAAATTGCATAATGGTTAATGTTCTTACTTGCTTAGATTTGCTAAACGAACAAAGTATATAGGTAGAAAAATAATTGTTAATAATTCGTTATATTTCTGTCTATAAAATCCATTAAATCTTATTTGTTAACTATTTACATATGAATAATCTTAAAATCTGATAAATAAGTGGCAAGCCTTATTTGTTAACAACATAATTAATAATAAGATTCTGTAAATGATTTAGATATCTACATGAGATTATGATATTAACTATCCTTGCTTATTTATGTGTACATAGAAAAGTAAGTAAACAGCTTATTATTCGATTACATAGTAACTCTCGTTAAAAAAATTAAAAACTCCTTGCATTTTTTAACAGAAGGTATGAGGGCGTACAACCAACTATTTTTTGTTATTAATCTAATGGCAATACACTCCTTCTTCAGGGGTGTTGTCCTTTATCACGGCTGATAAAAGATATTGACAAGGACATGCTGGTATATTTAATACTTTACATTAAATTTTAAACCAAACACTTTCCAAGCGTAGCTTGATTTGTAACTTTATCAATAACGGGTTATATTTCCTGATATCATACTGAAGTGCTAGACAAATTTGTTACGCTCGATATACAAAACTACGCTGATTTTAAATCATATTATCAATTGTCAAATATAGTAAAATGGTCTTCAAATTCCAACTAAATTCTCTGTAATCTGATATTTATAATTAAACTATTGTTCGCTTTGATTATACTTTAAATCCCAACGCTACGCAAAACAGTCGGAATATTCACAGTAATACCTCAAGCTCTTCTAATCTAACAATAGGTAATACAATATCTTATTCTCAGAAGACTGTTGTCTCGATCACTCGACGGGCTAGAAGGTGGCGTCCCACCCGGATAGGTCATCGGGTGGTGGTTCGTCCGCATCCGGAGGATATTGGTCGAAGTTGTGTGTGTCAATAGCAGAATTGACTACAGGAGTAATTGGTGGATCCAAAGTACGCTGCGCTAGGCCCTCCCAATTGAAACCATCGAACCATCTGGAAAAAAGTTGTACTCATAAATTAAAGCTCTAATAGGCATTTGAAAAAATTATGAAAATGATTTTGATGTGTACATTACTTGACTGGCCTTTTAAATTAGAGAATGCCTATGAATAATTTAAAACAAAAAATAGATGTTTGATCAGAAAAGAATAGAAAAATTCTTCGCATTTGTGAGGTGATAGCTTCTCCATTCTTCCATTTACGTAGAACTTTTTATAATAATGATTAATTCATAAGGTATTTACAATTTTTTGCCATATAACTAGATTTGAAAATTTAATTTACATTATTTTAGATCACTATCGAATTCTGTATTGAATTGCTTCATTCTAGCGGAACCCAATGGTATTGTAGCGCTGCATTTAGGAGCTTAATGACAAGAGCGAAAATAAGAAAGGATCGTAAATTTTCAAAAGTGGACATAGTGAAAGTGCAGAACGACAAAGAGTTCACTTTCACAAAGAGCAATGAAATTCGGATTATGTTATATACAAAAAAAAAAACATTCTTAAGTCAACTAAATATTGATCAGTTATGAAAAGATCTGAGGAATGATATCGAATTTTTATTAAATGTTTTAATATGAAGAAATCCGTAATTTTTTCTTATTACCCATACCCACTCATAAAACACGTAAAATCGCACTAAAAAACAGACATAAGTAAGTTTGAAAACCAATATGTGCAATCGTGTAGCGATGGGCGTTGAATCAACGGACTAGTTAAATCAACCGTTAACGTAGAATCAACGCGTCGACGGTTGACAGTTCTTTGGTTAACTAGTTGAAAAATCGACGCCTTAACGAAGAACCCACCGTTCGTCTAACAACATGTTATGAAACTGCAACGCATCATTTTCCATTCATAAAGATTCGATGTAACTTTGATCGCTGAAATAATTGAAACTCTAAAGTCAATGGCAGTAAGTAAATATTTCAATACGCGCGTCTAATACATAGGCCTTGTATATATGAATGTCAAATGTGATTGTTGTTTACATTTGTTTCTAATAGATGGTGTTATACAGTTCTTGTATTTATCTACACGGCGGTGTTAAGAATTTTACTAGTTAGTATAGATCAACTATTGTTGCAATATAAAGTTTCTTTTTAATTTTGCATACACTCGTCTAATTGTGTGTTTTATTAGGGTTTCCTTGGGATTTTTTTTTGTCTGAATAATCTATCTAACCTTTCTTTCTCTGAAAGAACGTTTACCTATAGATTTTTTTTTATTTTAGAGAATTTAATTCACTCTGCGCAACTGTTATATCAATAATTTTGAATATTAAGATTAATAATTTTATTTTGTACCAAAACAAACAAAACCTAAAGTACAGTATATCTATAATATTATGTAAAAATAGTAAAACATATCACTATAAGCGAAAAATAATATTTATTGATAAATATAATAAAATATTTATTAAAGATTTCTAGTTAGATTATTAAAAAACATGAAACCGTAAATTTCTTCTATTATACCTACACCTAGGTAACTACGATCTTACACAAAATAAATATTATATTATTTTTTATATCCATTAACGTGAAGTAGTTCGGCCAACTGCGAAAGTCTATATAGTCCATCCAATACTGTTAATATTTGTACGTTGGTTGTAGTTCATAAATAAACGCACACTCCCATCCGTCCACGTCTATCCTGTCGACGTAGTTGCACGTTAACTATAGTTGATAATTCAACTAGTTGAATTTTCAATGATCAGATAAAGAGCGTTACGTTCGTTGATCAACGTACACCTAGTCTACAACGCTTTAGTTTTGTCGTATAATACAATAATACAACCAGTTAAAAAGTCGACGGCTAAACGAAGAACGCACCGTTCATCTATAAACATGTTACGAAACTACAACGCATAACTTTATCTGTATAATACAATGGAATTTGGTTGTTTCCATTATTAAATTTTCATGTAACTTTGACAGCTGAAATAATTTAAACTCTAAAGTCAAAGGAAGTAAGTAAATATTTGAACACTTGTATCTAATACATAGGCCTTGTTTAAATACATGTTAGACTTTGTTTGTTTACGTTAATCCCCGATAGATGGTGTTATACGATTTTTGACATGGCGGTGTTAAGAATTTTACTACTTAGTATAAGTTAACTTTTTCTATTGTAAAAAGTTTTTAGTCTTTTTTTTTTGCATCTGAATTATATAGTGATTCATTAATTCATTAATTTATTATTTTAATTAATTTTTAATTATATTAATTATCCTATTACAGAAAAATTTCATAATATTTATTTTAACTGTATGTTTAAAAAACGGCTAAGTGCAGTGCGAGTTGGACTCGCACACGAAGAGATCCGTACATACCATTATAAAACGGCAAAAAAATTAAATCTGTTGTATTTGTACGAGAGCCAACTTGAGTATTTATTTTATTTTAATTTAACTGTTTATTTTTAAAGTGAATACGTATATAGACAAATCTTCGGTAAATATTTCAAGGGTCTACTCGCTGCAAGTATCGATATCGAGCAAAAACATTATTTTATTAAATAAAAGCAAATATTTATTCTGTTTTTAGTATTTGTTCATTATTGGCAAAAGAAATGAATCTTATGTGAAAATTTTAACTATCTATCTTTCAAGGTTCATGAGATACAGCCTAGTGACAGACAGACGGACGGATAGCGAAGACTTAATAATACGGTTTCGTTTAAAATACAAAACCCAAAACAATATCTAATTAGAATACTAGCGCTATCTTTCGACAATAAAAAATCATAACCAGGTACAGATGATCAACAATGTTTACTTTTAAATATTGATATACGGTTCAATAAAACAATTAAAACCGTTAAACTTCGTCCAAAGTTCGTACCCGTTGACGTAGTTCTTTATGTCAACTATAGTTAAAATCAACTAGTTGATCGACTAGTCGATCAAGGTCCATGAACGGCTTCGTTTCGTCGACGGAAAATCTGTCAACGACCCATCTCTACAATCGTGCACTAGTATAGTAAAACAATGATCGATAGAAGAAACAAAAACATATTTACAACACTATAGCGATGGGCGTTGAATCAACGGACTAGTTAAATCAACCGTTAACGTAGAATCAACGCGTCGACGGTTGACAGTTCTTTGGTTAACTAGTTGAAAAATCGACGCCTTAACGAAGAACCCACCGTTCGTATAACAACATGTTATGAAACTGCAACGCATCATTTTCCATTCATAAAGATTCGATGTAACTTTGATCGCTGAAATAATTGAAACTCTAAAGTCAATGGCAGTAAGTAAATATTTTAATACGCGCGTCTAATACATAGGCCTTGTATATATGAATGTCAAATGTGATTGTTGTTTACATTTGTTTCTAATAGATGGTGTTATAGAGTTCTTGTATTTATCTACACGGCGGTGTTAAGAATTTTACTAGTTAGTATAGATCAACTATTGTTGCAATATAAAACTTTTTTTTTTTTTAGTTTTGCATATACTCGTCTATTTATTTGTTTTATTAGGGTTTCCTTGGGATTTTTTTGTCTGAATAATCTATCTAACCTTTATTTCTCTGAAAGAACGTTTATAGATTTTTTTTTATCTTAGAGAATTTAATTTACTCTGGGCAACTGTTATTTATATTGAAATGGGCAATTTTGAATATTAAGATTAATAATTTTATTTTGAACCAAAACAAACAAAACCTAAAGTACAGTATATCTATAATATTATGTTAAAATAGTAAAACATATCACTTTAAATGAAAAATAATATTTATTGATAAGTATAATAAAATATTTATTAAAGATTTCTAGTTAGATTATTAAAAAACATGAAACTGTAAATTTCTTCTATTATACCTACACCTAGGTAACTACGATCTTACACAAAATAAATATTATATTATTTTTTATATCCATTAACGTGAAGTAGTTCGGCCAACTGCGAAAGTCTATATAGTCCATCCAATACTGTTAATATTTGTACGTTGGTTGTAGTTCATAAATAAACGCACACTCCCATCCGTCCACGTCTATCCTGTCGACGTAGTTGCATACGTTAACTATAGTTGATAATTCAACTAGTTGAATTTTCAATGATCAGATAAAGAACGTTACGTTCGTTGATCAACGTACACCTAGTCTACAACGCTTTAGTTTTGTAGTATAATACACTAATACAACCAGTTAAAGAGTAGACGGCTAAACGAAGAACGCACCGTTCATCTATAAACATGTTACGAAACTGCAACGCATAACTTTATCTGTATAATACAATGGAATTCGGTTGTTTCCATTATTAAATTTTCATGTAACTTTGACAGCTGAAATAATTTAAACTCTAAAGTCAAAGAAAGTAAGTAAATATTTGAACACGCGTATCTAATACATAGGCCTTGTTTAAATACATGTTAGACTTTGTTTGTTTACGTTAATCCCCGATAGATGGTGTTATACGATTTTTGACATGGCGGTGTTAAGAATTTTACTACTTAGTATAAGTTAACTTTTTCTACTATAAATAATTTTTAGTCTTTTTTTTTGTATCCGAATTATATAGTGATTCATTAATTTATTATTTTAAATAATTATTAATTAAATTAATTATCCTATTACAGAAAAAAAATCATAATATTTATTTTAACTGTATGTTTAAAAAACGGCTAAGTGAAGTGCGAGTTGGACTCGCACACGAAGAGCTAACTTGAGTATTTATTTTATTTTAATGTAACTGTTTATTTTTAAAGTGAATACATATATAGACAAATCTTCGGTAAATATTTCAAGGGTCTACTCGCTGCAAGTATTGATATCGAGCAAAAACATTATTTTATTAAATAAAAGCAAATATTATTCTGTTTTTAGTATTTGTTCATTATTGGCAAAAGAAATGAATCTTATGTGAAAATTTTAACTATCTATCTATCAAGGTTCATGAGATACAGCCTAGTGACAGACAGACGGACGGATAGCGAAGACTTAATAATACGGTTTCGTTTAAAATACATAACCCAAAACAATATCTAATTAGAATACTAGCGCTATCTTTCGACAATATAAAATCATAACCAGGTACAGATGATCAACAATGTTTACTTTTCAATATTGATATACGGTTCAATAAAACAATTAAAACCGTTAAACTTCGTCCAAAGTTCGTACCCGTTGACGTAGTTCTACGAGGGTCAAACTGAAAGTTCTTAGAAAATCAAAAACTGATTACATTAGCCAGTTATTAGTTTTATTATATCTTTTCAAAATATTGTCCATTCACGTCAATACACCGCTGCATGCGATGGAACCACTGGGAAAAGCACTTTGCCCACTCGTCCTTAGGGGTCTCTTCAATGGCATCGCGATACGCAGCCACCGCTTCTTCAGCATTCATAAACCGCTTTCCCTTAAGTTTTTCTTTAATTTTTGGAAATAAATAAAAATCACAAGGCGCGAGGTCGGGGCTATACGGCGGGTGACCCAGTAATTCAACGTTTGATGTCGCCAAATAGTCGATCGTTCGCTTGGCGGTGTGCGACGAGGCGTTGTCGTGGTGAAGGAGGATCCTACTGCGAGGTCGTTTCTCTCGAACTTTTTCCAAGACAAGTGGCAAACAATTGGCAGTGTACCATTCTGCAGAAACTGTTTTTTGATCCTCTAACACAATTGTTGCAAAATGACCTATCCTTCCAAAGAACGAGGCCACCATTTTTTTTCCCGCACTTCGATCTCTCTTCACTTTAGTTGGCAACTCCTCGAAAGGAAACACCCACTGAGCAGATTGTCTTTTGGTTTTAGGATCATAACAGTAAATCCAGCTTTCGTCACCTGTTAGTATGTCGAACACAGCATTTGAGTCACCTCCGTTAAATCTTTCAATCATTTTACGACACCAATCCACACGATGGAGTTTTTGAGCCTCAGTCAAATTTTGAGGTATCCACCGGGCGCAAAGCTTCCTGACCGCTAAATGTTCGTGGAGGATTTTGTGCACTTGACTCATACCGATGCCTAAGCTTGTCCGAAACTGTTGATAGGTCACTCTTTTGTCAGTCTCTATCATACGCCGCACAACACAGATGTTATCTTCAGTCGTCGCCGTAGAAGGCCGTCCCTCGCGTAAATCATCAGTGAGATTAGTGCGACCACGTTTAAACTCATTAAACCAGTTGTAAACAGTCGCACGAGATGGGGCTTCATCGTGAAAGGCCAATCGTAGTCTATCATAACTTTCTTGTTGACTTAAATGACATCGAAAGTCATAAAAAATCATTGCACGAAAATTTTCTCGTGTTAAATTCATGATGACGTGACACAGACAATTTTCAATTTGCCGCCAAATCGTAAAACAAATGACAAATGAATGAAATATATACTCAGTAATATTGGCAAAGAGTTATATTTTCAAATTTTAGAATTATTTTTTTATTATATTGTTTATAAGTGGCCAGTTCTAAGAACTTTCAGTTTGACCCTCGTATATGTCAACTATAGTTAAAATCAACTAGTTGATCGACTAGTCGATCAAGGTCCATGAACGCTATAGTTGACATATGGAACTACGTCAAGGGGTATGAACTTTGGACGAAAATTAATGGTTTAATTTTTTTGCCGTTTTATAACGGTATGGGTGTGCGGATCTCTTCGTGTGCGAGTCTAACTCGCACTTAGCCGTTTTTTAAACATACAGTTAAAAGAAATATTATGTTTTTTTATGTAATGGGATAAATAATTTAATTAATAATTAATTAAAATAATAAATTAATGAATCACAGTATAATTCGGATGCAAGAAATGACGAAATCGTTTATAAAAGAAAAAGTTAACTTATACTAAGCAGTAAAATTCTTAACACCGCCATGTCAAAAATCGTATAACACCATCTATCGGGGACTAACGTAAACAAACAAAGTCTAACATGTATTTATACAAGGCCTATGTATTAGATATGCGTGTTCAAATATTTACTTACTTCCTTTGACTTTAGAGTTTAAATTATTTCAGCTGTCAAAGTTACATGAAATTTTAATAATGGAAACAACCGAATTCCATTGTATTATACAGATAAAGTTATGCGTCGCAGTTTCGTAACATGTTTATAGATGAACGGTGCGTTCTTCTTTTAGCCGTCGACTTTTTAACTGGTTGTATTAATGTATTATACGACAAAACTAAAGCGTTGTAGTCTAGGTGTACGTTGATCAACGAACGTAACGCTCTTCATCTGATCATTGAAAATTCAACTAGTTGAATTATCAACTATAGTTAACGTATGCAACTACGTCGACAGGATGGACGTCGACGGATGGGAGTGTGCGTTTATTTATGAACTACAACCAACGTACAAATATTAACCTTATTGGATGGACTATATAGACTTTCGCAGTTGGCCGAACTACTTCACGTTAACGGATATAAAAAATAATATAATATTTATTTTGTGTAAGATCGTAGTTACCTAAGTGTAGGTATAATAGAAGAAATTTACGGTTTCATGTTTTTTAATAATCTAACTAGAAATCTTTAATAAATATTTAATTATATTTATTGATAAATATTATTTTTCGTTTATAGTAATATTATAGATATACTGAACTTTAGGTTTTGTTTGTTTTGGTTCAAAATAAAATTATTAATCTTATTATTCAAAATTATTCATATAACAGTTGCCCAGAGTGAATTAAATTCTCTAAAATAAAAAAATCTACAAACGTTCTTTCAGAGAAATAAAGGTTAGCTAGATTATTCAGACAAAAAAAATCCCCAGGAAACCCTAATAAAACACACGATTTGACGAGTATATGCAAAACTAAAATGGAGTCTTTTATTGCAACAATAGTTGACCTATACTAATTAGTAAAATTCTTAACACCGCCGTGTAGATAAATACAAGAACTGTATAACACCATCTATTAGAAACAAATGTAAACAACAATCACATTTGACATTCATATATACAAGGCCTATGTATTAGACGCGCGTATTGAAATATTTACTTACTGCCATTGACTTTAGAGTTTCAATTATTTCAGCGATCAAAGTTACATCGAATCTTTATGAATGGAAAATGATGCGTTGCAGTTTCATAACATGTTGTTAGACGAACGGTGGGTTCTTCGTTAAAGCGTCGATTTTTCAACTAGTTAACCAAAGAACTGTCAACCGTCGACGCGTTGATTCTACGTTAACGGTTGATTTAACTAGTCCGTTGATTCAACGCCCATCGCTATCTACAACACTACAATGACGTTTGCGAAGTTCAAAAATACAATTTATACCCTAGACACATAATATTTTCACGTTTAAGTGGGCCAATCCCGGCGGCACTGCAATGCCGGGCCGACCCGTGACGAGAGTGGAGCGAGCCCCGAACATCTCGTCGGTTTACAAAAATCAGTTTAATATACTGGTCCCTCAGTGAGGGAACTTTCAGATATTAAGCTGAAAAGAACAGATACTACACTTTGATCTTAGCCAAAAGGCCGAGAAGCGATACCTACTAAACGTTGTCTGAATGTCTTATATGAACGCACAAAAATCTTAACATCGCAATCTAGAAAGCGAACGTAGCGCCATCTAGTGACAACTTACAAAAGTACACAACACCCGTCAGTCACACCATACCCAGATGCAGAAATGTAAACGAATACCTTTAACAATATTTATTACATTGGTTGGGGATATAGAATTTTTAAGGTATGTTTTGGAAGCAAATATTGTGGTGCTTAGATGAACTTTATGGTTTGCCACCCACCACCAGAATATCATAAAAACGGCGTTCACTCCAACATACTTTTTGACTGGCCTCGCTGTCTTTGTTTAAATGCGCAGCATAAACAAGCTATATCGAATAAATGAGCAAGTTCTACGCAAATCATGAGCAAAGATTTGTTAAGACCATATTCAATATTAATATGATATTATTTAGGCCTCAGAAGAGTCCCCATAAGTAAAATAATTTCCCTATTTTCATGAGAAGTAATCAGAACTGTCTTCCTAATCAGTTCCGTTTCTTTCGGTTATCAACTCCTTGAAGACATTATATTTTGTATTGTTTTATTAATAAATTTACCAAAGAATCTTTATAACTTGTTGTTGTTTTGTATTACTTACTTGTGCTTCTGTATCTCAGTGATGCCGCCTCGCTGGTAACCGAGCCGCTCTGCTGGGTTGTCACGGCAAAGTTTCTTGATGAGATTGGCAGCGTTTCTCGTGATACATCGCGGGAATTCAACCGCATCAATTCCCTTCAGTATCTTATTGTAGATCTTCATAGGGTCTGCACCAGTGAACGGTGGCGAACCAGTGAGGAGCTCAAACATGAGTACACCTGTAATAAAATAGACGTTTGATTTTTTTAGCTTGAATACATCTACTTGAATATTGTAGCCTAATAATTTATTTACTGCTATTTCTATGGAAAACACTGGATGAACGGACAATGAACCGCCAAGAGTCTTTATGGATTGGACTGCAGATTTAGAGATAGCCTACGTAATTGCAAATCAACCATTGCGACAAATGCGACAACAGTGGAGTACAGGCTCCTCTTCGTAAGTATAATAATTTTAAGCATTGTTCTATGTTAATTCAAGGCTATTCGATCGTATCATGTCACTTGCAGAGAATATAATGTTATAATATTTATTATTTTCCTAATTAGTTATTATAAAATCCGTTTCAATATGATGTAATTAGATCTAATTAACGAAGATTTGAGAAAGATGAAGTCATGCCTGATCATTTATTATTTTAATTAAAGTAGATTGCATTGGTCGTCTCCTTGAGATTTTATTGTAACAGAATTAATTGGAAATAACGTACAGAGCTGTAAACTAACTGTAATTAGGTCGGAAGGATAACGATTGGTGACACAAAAATAAGGCAAACAGATTTCATAACCAACAACAACAATACTTTTCACGAGTATTGTGCCTCCACAAAGAATGCCAGAAGTTTAGAGATATGTTGGCCCTTACACGCGTATATAATGTTAGCGAGGATGGCTGTGCAAAGATATAAAGATATCATACTGCTAAATAATAACTAGGTAAATATTTTAGATAAAGAACAATTAGCGCCGCTTGCCACTCTTACCTAAGGACCAATAATCCGCGCTGATGTCGTGACCTCTATTCATGATTACTTCCGGCGCTACGTACTCTGGCGTACCGCAAAATGTCCATGTCTTGCGGCTAGCTTGTAGTTTCTTAGAGAAACCAAAATCCACTAATTTAACATAGCCCTTCGAGTCTAACAGTAAGTTCTCTGGCTTGAGATCCCTGGCAAGATAAAGAAATATTTATATCCAACTGTAAGTTTAATGTGTCTAAATAACAAACTGATTTTGTGTTATAAAATCTCACCTGTAAATTATATTTCTAGAATGCAAATAATGGAAAGCTTCAACAACACAGGCTGTATAAAATCGAGTTGTGGCATCGTCAAATTGTCCTGAAATGATAAAGACATTTTTGAATAATACAGTCAAAAAGAACATAGCTCGCAAGTAAATGTTATCGTTGATATTACTGAAATATTATTAGTTTAAACGCTTCCTTAACTTACCTCTGTCTCTTAAAATCGTCCACAATTCGCCGCCAAGACAAGTTTCCATAAGCATATATAAATATTTCCTATCCTTAAACGTTTTGAAGAGTTTTACAATAAATTCACAGTTCATCTCTGACATAATCTCCTTCTCTGACATAATGTGTTGTTGTTGTCTCGTTTCAACGATCTGGGCCTTCTTCATCTGCTTTAGAGCAAATGATCGACTGGAGTCCCCTTGTATCTGTACCAGTTCCACTCGGCCGAAACCACCGATACCTAGAGTGGCGATTATTCTTAAATCTGACAGGCGTAAGTTGGCGAATTCCTCGTTCAATCTGAAAAATTAAAAGGTAAACGTATCACTTTTATTCCTATTTTTATTCCAATTATCGAAGTTTCCAATTGTTTTTCCAATACAACTTCTAAAAATGTTTCTCTAATAATTGTAGACTTAGATACAGTTTGGTATTATATTGATAAATTATTTGTAACACTAATATAAAAGAATTATTACAGCACAAAATGTGACGTATTCTGAAACTAATATGAAAAATTCTGGTAATATATCACTAACAATGGGTATAGCTTTACGTACAAGTTTCTCCCAGACAAAAAAAAATATTGTTAATAAATCTTTCAAAGAAATATACTTGTAACCAATCCAGTCACAACTTTCTTAGTATCGTTCCAATTTTAATTGTTATGTCTTCGTCTACTACGTGCCTGTCTAAAAAAGTCTCTGCTATTGTCTTATCAAATTGAGCTCAATAAAAACTTGGGAATCGCACTTTTCACGACCGTAACCTCTGTTAATCTAAGTTTTCTATGTCGAAGAGGAAAGTTAATAACCCTCAATTATTTCCAACGTCTAATTACATTTTGACAGTGACAATTTGATTTCTCGATGAAAGCGTTGGAACTACGTGGATCACTTACCATAGAAATGTAATCCTCGTGATTGTTAGCGTACAAACGAAACAGAAAGGATTATAGAAGGTGAAATTAAGACATTATATTTCATGATATCATTAAAATTTGCTATTGTTTTACTGGCAAAAAAGATAAGTAGTAACACAATGGAGTTGAATTGCATAGAAATGAAATCTATTGTGAAGCATATCGGCATTGGTTATTTTCGAGTTTTTGTGTGAGCTTAAATGAAAATAAATAAAATAAACTTGTGTTTGCATAATCACGATCAGGAAGATTTCAGGGAGTTCTTTAACCTTTTTTATTTAGAAACATTTTAAAGCTTTACTTTATAACTTTAAGATATTTATGTTTAAACATTCACATGCATCACTGATATTGCGTAAAACAAGAATTACAGAACATTTTACTCTTTACAATTATTTTTGAAGCATTAGTTATCTACATCACATAATTTTTATAGAAATTATACACCCAAAACCCAGAAAAAATATAATTTCATTTATATTTATAATATAAATTTATAAAAGTCAGGATAAGAGGCTGCTTACGAGATTGGGTAAAATAGATGATCTCTCCGAATACTTATACTCTATAACTCTGATGATAAGGGTCACTATAGATCTTACAAATCGCGGTGATTTAGTTATGGAAATACATAAACGGAAAACCGAATAACAATAAATACAATTTAACTAATATAAACAGAAAAGCATTCTTTTCGTTGATGATTCGTGGCAAATATAAGTTATAAAATTAATATCTCACCTCTGCCTGCTTTCGCCTTCATCCTTATACTTCGTACGGATTTCGTCTAGGGCGGAAATCAACTGGTTGAATGTCTCGCGGTCTATGACGAGGCAAGTGCAGCCTTCTGGTGAGTCACAGATAATGTTTGCCGTACGGAGGTCATCCCTGAAATATTAAAAAGTAAAGGTAAATCTGAATCCAATAAATACTAACGTTTCATGGAAAATCTATCTTAAAATAAATGTAACTGCATCATGTTGGTTTGAAAAGTAGTCAAGTCACTTAAGAAAACAAACAGAAAAGACTATTATCGACACCTATATTTTAAACCATGCTGTAAGGAATACTGATCGTTCAAGTTAACCATGAATGTAAAATATTTTAGTTGTAAATATGTACGTACACGATACCCAAAATTATAAGGATGAAACAAATACTACATAGATGTACTTGTTTATTGGTAATTACAAAGTACTGTACCGTACTGACTATAAGTAACAAAATGTTAAAAAATAGCACGACTAATCTTGAAAGAAATAACTGTAATATCGTAAGATTCGGTACCGACAGATAGACTTATAATCGAATCTGGTGCAAGCGCATCGCTCACGATTTGCGATGGCATTCGTTTAAAGTCGAAAACGTACCCTTGCAGCGCTTTTTCGCCGAAGAAATCGCCTTTCGTGAGAGTTCTGATGAATTTCTCATCGTTGCTGTTCGGTTGTTTCTGGGTCACCTTAACCTGTAAATGATTTGAAACCATTAACAACAGTTAGAATACTATAATTTGTAGGATATAAGACAACCTATAGGGAACACGACTCAGTTTAGTTTGTTTGTCCATCAAGTAAAATATTTAAGAATATTAAACACTTTAATGCATATTATCTAAGTAATTTCTTATTAAATTGAAGCAAAAAAAAAAACTACGGATCTATTATTATTTTTTCCATTATCTGACTGACGGACTTTCTTTTTTTTACCTAGTCGTCATCCATATTGTTGTTGTAATTTTTTTTTTCATATATTGATAATCAGTTTCTTCTTGCTTGTCTTTCTTTTATAAATTGGTTACTCTCTTTATCAGCGTGTATAATTTGAAAGGACCAAAATGCATGAACTACGCGCGATTCAGGGCCGGTGATAATTTTCTTTAAGTAATTTAATTTATTACAATATTTAATTTTGTGCATTGTATAATTAAAATTGTGTGTCATTTCATATTAATGTATCATATTATTAAGTGATTGAAAATTGATTTTGTTACACAATTCATAACTTATATAAATATAACCGGGACATTTGAATACCGTAGATGGGATATTTGTTGCACGTTGGTATCCCTACGGAATTAGTAGAATTATAATTGCCGATTCCGTTGTCATAATTAGCTGCGTGACACTTGTTGGCTACTAGATAAGAATTAATAGTTGGGTCAACTTTAACGACTTTAAACACTTGACAAATGGTAGTTTTGAAACAGTTACAGTTACGCAATTCTTTCCAGTTGTTACAAATTACATTTTGGTCGCTTTCAAAAATCCTTCCGTTAAAGAGTAGAAAGGTGATCTCAGTGGCAGAGTGGGAATCCAGTTAAATTCATGCAGATTTTTTAATATATATTTAAATTGCAGTATCTTTGTGGCTTCTGATTTTGATAACACAAGATATTTGGTTACCTAACTTGGCACTCTAATAATAACACTAAAAATATATGCTCGCGCAAAGATATCAAAAGCAACTCTTAAATTAAGTAAAATTCTTCAATCATGAACACGTGAAAACGGTTACACGTGAAAAAATGTACGACAACACTGTTAGTACTTCGAACAGAAAAAAATAAGATAACAACGGAAATTAGATAACATGGCGTTAAGTAACAATCACTTCTACAAGGCGAGCCAACACAAACTGGACAACGTGAGAAAACAAATAATCTTAAGCTTTGTTGCAGCTGAATTAATCATAACTTGGAAACTTGGAATGAGTTCCACAGAAATTTAAACTAAATTTATATCAGTATACTTCATAGAGCTTCCAATTCTACCGCAGTATTCGTCGCGAAAGTAAAATCAGATTACGGAGTTTTGTATTGGTTATTTTATTATCCGCCCGACTTTACTAGAAGAATAAAAAATCCCACAAAAAAATATATTTCCAAAAAAATTTCAGAATCCTATTTAGAGCCAAATTTTAAATCTACAAGTCATAACAAACTCTACACTTTAGTCAATACTAAATATGTGGGTTCGCCATTTTGCTGCCGCTAAAAAACGTAAGGTTACTAGTGTACTCTTCATTACTATCTGTTATAAGTACAATAGTTCTTGTAGCCAACGAAATACCCAAGTCGCGTGTTAGATGGCTTGTTTAAATCACCTTGGCGGGCTACCTCCGAAGCACTGTAGCCCCAGGTCAACTGTCTTTTATCTAAGAATTACTTTCCATCTGAGCTTTTCTGAAGTCAACTACTTTTGAAATAGTTTTAGTTTTTGGACAGGGATTACTTTCGTGACGGATATTATAAGTAATTTTATAATTGCTAGAATATCATTAGATGTTTGTAAGTAATCTGCTCTATTTAATCTTAATAAAACAGAGTTTAAATGATATTTAACACCTTTAACAAAAAAATCTATAGGGTGTGCCCTGACAATTGTCAATATTAAATGTACGACCAAAATTTATGTTTCTATAACTACTTGATCAATACAAAGCTCCTAAAATTATGGCGTTCAACGACGGACATTCAATTCAAATTATGGTTTACAATATGCGTCAATAATCATACTTTCTCCGTCGTTGATTCAATAAATTTAAAGTTTACTTTTTTCGAGCCATTGGAGTGCCTTCTGTTAACATAATTGACCTCATTTCAATAGATGATTGTTGAGAGTTTTTTTTTTCAATTTATTGCTTTCAAATCCATGACACATCTGTTTTTAACAACTTAAATGTTCATAAAGCTCGTTGAAAATATGAACAACAAACTTTTTTTTTAAATACATTTTTTTTTTATTTTCTGGTGTATTGAACCAATTAAGGGGTATAATTCCATTCAATTACGTGTGTTAAAAGTTTGTTAACACCCTCAACCAAATTATATTTGTATCATTAAAGGTAATTTATATCTTAATTTATTTAAGCAGATTTTTCCCACAGTTGAATAAAAAATCTGGCCTTAAAATATCATACACATAACCCTGCGCTCGCCGGTGCGCTGACCTTGTGGGCACAATAGCCCGGCTTTTGGCCTCTATGCGGGCTAGAGAGAAAAAATTAGTCACACGTTCCGACAGTGGCTGACTTGCGGATTACCATCCGTGATCCGTATTAAAAGATCCAGTGATAAACCATTTACAAAAGAGATCGCCGAAATTGAGTGTCTTAAAATGGGAGTGTCTTAATATTAACATTGACTCTAATTAACTAGACTATCAGTCACAAATCATTTGTAATAATTACAAGTCCGTAAAGTGATCATCATTATTTAGTGATTAAATTAGAAAAATAGCAAGCGCATTATTAAACGCGAATATTAATTCGCCCATAATAATCATGGTTTGCACAAACACACACTCGAGTAAATGCCAAGGCAAACTTCTCGCACAGTCACTGTCGGACACGAAACATTATAATACCTACCGTGTCTACTAACTTAATCTTGCGGTGTGAATAATATTAACTATAATACCATCTACAGGCCGTTTAGAAAGCTAATGTAATTCAAATTGAAATGAAATTCAACCAAAATATTTAAAGAACCGTGGCCAAAACAAAGAAGTTATGTCATAAGTTTTGAAAGTGAAGTTGTTTTTGATTACAAAATAAATGCAACACATTTAATAGATTCACGTTGTAAATTAACATTTAATGAAGTGCGATTTGTTGAAGTATTTGTAAATATGGCATGTGACAAGAACCAATTAAAGTCCATTAATGACAAAAACGAAATTTGGGACTAAAATAACATAGTTTAAAGGATTTGTAAAAATCACAGTAAGTAAAGTGATAAATTTCACTTTCGTTTACGAAAGTGAAATTTCTGTTGAACTCTTACTTAGGAAAGCCTTAGCGATGTCGAAAAATTATTTACTACTACAATATCATCAAAGTAAATAACATAAATAAAGATGATGATTCAGCTGCTTTAACATTTAGTTTCATTCCACTGCTTATTAAAAATAATTACAATGCATAATTGTCGTACTATACATTCTTCTCAATAATACTCTCATAACATGTCTCTGGTTGCAACCGACTTAAGATATTCTCTTTAATTTTTTTATTTATTTTTATGGGATAGGCGGCAGACGAACAGACGGATCACCTGATGGTAAGTGATTACCGTTGCCCATGGACACCTGCAACACCAGAGGGGCTACAAGCGCGCTGCAGGCCTTGAATCTCTTAAAAGTCGATAGCTAATTATAATTTATAGCCATTGTTGGATTTCAAAGCTAGATTGCAAATCGCTAAGAGATATTTTTAGAGGTAGACGTATCAAATATCTATCATCGAGTATCAAAATATCATAATCCTGGGTTTTTATATCTATATAATAATATCGATCGGAATTACCTGTCCTTTCGATATGATAAAGAAGGTGTCACCGCGAGCTCCTTGTCTGATGATGTAGTCTCCATTCTGGTAATGCGTTTCTTCAAGTACATCTGAGATCTTAATGAGCGTATCTTCTGGGAGGTCCTTGAAGATTGGCACGCTGTAATAGAAATTAAGGTGTGAATAGCAGGTAAGAAAAGGGCAAAACTGTAATTTAGCTTAAATATGTTTTATAATTACTTAACACGCTTAAATAGTAAACGGAAAAATTAAAAAAGGTAAAGAAGAGTAAACAGAACTATGATTATTATGAAATCTTACGCGTTAATAACATCAACATGTGTCATTAAATATAACGAGACTGAATGAGTAGCTCGGCGGCGTAGTGGATAACCGCCGCGACCCGCGATCGTTGTCGTTAAGCAACTTTCGCGAGGGACGGTCACGGGATGGGTGACCAAAAAATTATTATCTCTACTAGCTACTCCGTGCTTCGGAAGGCACGTTAAGCCGTTGGTCGCGGCTGCATTTGCAGTCGTTAATTCCCTCCAATCCGTATTGGGCCAGCGTGGAGGGTCATGGCCCATCCTCCTTGACCATCCATAAGGAAGGCCTGAGCCCCTACAGTGGGAACGTAAAAGGGTTGATGACGATGATGATGAATTTGTTTAAGTTCGTTATGGATTTCAATTGTTCCTTTGTAATGTTAAAATTTCAACCAAATTGTAGAAAATAGACTCGTTCAAAACCAGTCGCAACAAAAAAGGTACGCGTTATGAATAGAAAGCACATTCATGTTTCATTGTGTCATGGAATCTGCCTTGCGATAAAATTCTTGTAATACATACAAGGTACCTACGTCTCAAAACTTATATCCTTATGTAGAAGGTTATATGAGTCTATCCTACATTAGTTTGGTCAGAAATTAGTTTTTGGGTTTTACTCTTTTTAAAGAATTTCTTTTGCATGTTTTTGGATTATCAAACTTAACATAAAACGTAAGCATTAAGATAAGAGATCACACCATAATCAAGTCTTTAATATTACTCGATGCAACATTTATACTTAGTAATTAGTTGCGAATATACAGAACACGGGCAAGCTAATTAAATAAGGTGCACGTATTGAAAGTGAGCGTGGTTACCTAACTTGAAATGGTCAAGTTTGAAAGGCTTCCTTTTAATGACTCACGCACAATCTCTGATTAAAACCGGTCTGCCTTATTACTATTATTAATATACAGAAATTTTGTGTTGACACCTAAAAGAATATCATATCCGACAACTTTAACTATAAAATTATTAAGTGTGAAGTTATAATCGACATTACCTATACATAAAAAATACATGGTAAGCTTTTACTGTCGTTACTTAGAAAAAGAAAATAATAAATGTATGATACGGTATGCGCTAAAGAAGATTGCTTAACGCATCTAATTTTTTCACGGTCACCACACTTTGACCCATTTATCACAGTAAACATGTAACTGTATAAGCATTTTATTCACTAAAAAGGTGTTTTACTGCCGAGAAGTATTAACTGACCTTTTTATAGGACTATTATAATGCCAGTCAAATACCAGTTGGCCTGCATTAAAATGTTTTATTTGCTTTTTTATGATATATGTTGTAAACTTTATCTTTTTTTTATCAAACTTAACATAAGTAGTTTGGCATCACAAGCTAATGAGATTAAAGGAAGCAAATGAAAAAAAAACTAAGAAACGTTTGGTACTATTAGAAGTCTAAAATCTGAATATAAGAAGACTACCGAATATAGTCGTTATACATTTGTTTCGACATAATAAGTAGAACTATGTCGAGGTTGCTGACAGCAATGAAGATGTACTTGAGACTTTGAAATGGATAACTGATCAACCTAATAGGGAACGGTTTTATTTAACTTAACTTCACAATCAGCAAAGAACTTTCAATAACAACTCTATTCCCCCTTAAATAAGCAAAGAATTTTCTCTTATGTAACATGTCTATCGATATAACAAATCAGTTAAATTTGCTCACTGTCACTCATTGCTAACTATTCATCGTACACGACTTGTTTAGACTAGACGTCTTTTAAAATACTCTTGACATAGTTTCTTTTACAGGAAGTTTTAAGAGAAGATTCTGTTTATGAGGATGCTCTAGAACTGTCAATCAAACTTATTTGAGATTTACGTGTAATTTAAAACTGTATAGGTATATATATTTAAATAATTATCTATGCAGATGATCTGCAATCACTATGAACAATTAATGTCAAAGATGTTCAATTGATAGCAGTAATACATCAAGGCAACACTCACATTGCATAATACATTAAATCATTGAGAAGAACAAATAGCGAGCAGTTGGAATTTTCCAGCTCGTGCCATCTACGGTATTGCTAATAGATGATATAAAAGAATACACATTAAGTTAATAATTGAGACAAAGCCTTCAAGAGATCTCTATGAATAACACACGAAGAACACTTACAGCAGGACTTACTTTTCACTCATTTGGCATAAGCAAGATTATCAATGAAATATTTTGACAGTTTCTTATTCGATCATTTTTATTCTGAAACAGGAGTGTAATTTAATACCCCTGGTACGTTGACGTAGTGAAAGGAATACGATCTCAAATGTCATGAGCCGCTACGTGACGGCTGTTTCGCAAATTGCGCACGAGTACTTTTGCAACGGTGACAAAGTTACACCAATTCCTTTGTTTTACTTGTGTCGGTTTGATTACTTAGAGAATAAAATCACGTTAACAATTTCTTAAGACGGTAGGAGTCGAGAAATTGCAACAAAAAAAGTATTGACCATTGTTGCACAACTTCGCATTTAGAGCAATATGAATCAGTTCAGTGTAAAGACAGGTCTTAAGGCATAAACAATACTTCTCCTTGTACTTGGGTCCAATATACTAGACTAACTAATGAATCATCATCACCAGCCTATTAGTGTTCCCGCGGTCGGGACCAATGGTTTAACGTGTCTTCCAAAGTACGAAAGAGCTCGAAATAATAAATTTTTGTCACCCATCCTATGACCGAGCATTTCGAAAGTGCTTAGCAACGGCATCGCAGATCGAGCGCATTAACCGCTGCGTTATTTAGCTCAATGATGGATAGCTTATGTTAATATGATAGCTAATGAAATTGACATATTTGATTGTGCTCTGAGTGAATTTACAAAAACTGCAATATTTTTTTGTACATATAAAATTAATTAAGAACAATATATATTAATTAAAGCTTATTTTATATATAAAAAAGTAAGGTCTAAGAAAAATTGTTAAGGTTTACTAGATCGCATTGGCTATAAGCTGTAATGATCGATGTAAAAGTTGTTGATAATAAATAAATAAATAAATGTTTTTTAAAATAATTTTTTGATTATCAAACTAAGTAACCCACAAATATGCGCGCGTGTAAGCAAAATCTTTGAAAAAATAATATGTACATGAAGATTTTAAGAAATCTGAGCATCTGGTTCATCGCTCGGTATGTGCTTCAACATTTCTTTTAATGTATGCTCGTGATTCTCTCACGTTCGTTTTCTATCACAGATGCTTATTAAGAAACTACTTTCACCTTCTAATAACAGTGATATATCCGCCGGATTTCAAATACTGAATCACTTAAGATATAATTAATATGTGACATTAAACTATTATAAAATTAAAATTTATGATTATTTTATTGAACTGCATAATTTATTGGACATATAAGTATACTAATAAAAAAGAGATTTTCTCAATATTTTAATTGTATATATATTTTTTATTGATTATTTCTTTATTAAAATTCGCAAGTAAATAAGATGTTGCAAAATTAGAGTGAAACTAAATAAGTAGTATAAACCGTGTTATTCTTTTCTTAACATAAGTCCAACGTGTAGCTACGAGTACAATTGAACTTATTCAAATACAACAATTTAAAGCAACCTTGCCAATTTAGGCATGGTCGCACAAATGTCTATCGTTCAACAATATTTGTTTTAAAATATATATTATGGTTTAAATTCAAATATGAAAATTACGAGTTAGGAATACTTATCTGCTCATACCCAACATATTACTAAGAAAACCCATTTTATATTGCAGTAAATATAACAATTAATAACCTTAAAAAAGGAGATTAATGAAGAACACCTGTCTGCAAATTTAAATTCACTATTGACAATCACTAATTTCATTTCATTATAGAACAGGCTGCTGAATCTCCATAAAACTCATTACACCGTAAAATAGTACGACATTCTTTTGTACATTCAAAGAAATCATTACAGTAAACAGGTCGACGTAGGCTTTAAAATTGCAGTGCGTTAAATCGTGCACATGAACTTTAATGTACTACTACCAATGTGCTATATTTACAAACAGCTCAAGCGGTTGATCGACTAGACACTATACTATATTTAGGTAGCTGACTTTCTAATTTAGAGTGTTCGATATATTTATGTGCCAGAGTAATAGGTACTCTTCCATTATAACAACGTTTGTAAAAACCACCAAACGTATACGTAAATACAATTCGTGTTATTTTCACAAATGGACAATGTAATTTTTTTAGGAAGTTCTTATAATTCGTTAAAGATTTATTATAAAGGAAAATATCATACTGACTTGAGCTTGCTACACATATGTTAACTGAAATCTTGCACGGCACAGCGCGCCATTAGACGTATTTTTGAAGACCTACCGTGATATCTCATGCTCTTAAATAATATTAATACTGTATAAACCTTTTCTTTTATATAACATTATAGTCAACGGACAAATATGCGTTTATTAAATTAATAAGATTCACTTGAATTTTAACACGCATCTAGCGGTACCTGTCACAATAATACATTTTGCAGTAGTTAAACGAAAAATCTCCACTGCATTTGTGAAATGTATTGAATAGTATTAGTTCTTTACAGTAACATTTAATCAATACATAGTTTAAAACAAGTCACATTCCGTCCTCTGTCCCTGTGTATGCTTAGATCTTTAAAACTACACAAAGCATTTTGATGCGTTTTTTTTTTAATATATAGTGTAGTAGAAAAATCTTCAAAAGGAAGGTTTTATGTATAATACGAGACCACGTAGGCGAAGCCACTGGCGGAAAGCTAGTTAGATATATATATTACAACATAACCGAAGTAGTTATAAGTTCACATTAGGAACAATTACATCAACGCAAATATTAATTTTGTAAAATATGAAATTTAAACTATGGAAATTCGACTGCACCTCTGGCGTTTATTTAAATAGTTCTTAAAATATACTCAATTGTTTCTAAGGTCATTTACGAAGTAACGTACAAAAATTTCATCATCATATAAAATAACGATAAGTGTCCATATTGTAGTACTTAAGTTGGATAACAAACGTATTGTTGCGTTAGAATCGTTTCGAAACATATCGATGACGTACATTAAACACATTTTATTGTTCGTAGAATCCGGTTCTATTGTTGGAAAGAATTCATTTTAATTAATGTTCGTATTTAAAGAAATTAAAGAGTACTCGTCAGTAAATAAGAACATTATCAACAACTTGACCACTTCATTTCTAGCAAAGTTTTCATTCCAAGAGAAGCTCAGGTAATATCTGAAGAATCTGGTAAAGATTCAAATGTTACTGAAAAATGTTTAAAGTAATCGGGAAGACCAACTCTCTAGCTTTTTTCGAATAAAATGTGTATCAACAAAGTTACAAGTGAAGGTTCGTGACCGATTGTTCTAAAGAAAAGTATAAACTACTTATTATAATTCGTGACAGAAATGCATGCGTCTGGAGTCGACCGATGAAAGCAGAGAAGAATGGCCCGTAGCCACCCATTACATTTGCATAAATGTCTTGGGGTCAATGTTCTTCACCATCGGTAATGTTCAAGCGTTCCTTTATTACGAGCAGTTACTTTGTCAAAGGTCTTCCTTTTTAGAGCCTAATAGGGTATGGAATGTCACCATTTCAACTTGGGATTGATGCTAGAACGATTTTACTTTTGTAGTTACTCTATCAGTAAATTTTGAAATTCTTTAATCAAAAGTAATTGAAATTAGTTAACTTCTACAATAACGTATTATTTATCGAATTTAATCTTTGGATTCGAGCTAGTTGATATTCTAGTAAACTTTAATTGTTGTCTTACACAGCGACTATTTGTGTTAATAGGTCAAAATATATTAACATGTGTTGTGGTATTTATATTTACATTTACATTAGCGTCAAAACAATCTGTGAAGTCACTGGACTGAAGGTTATTGGTCCCATTACAAGCTTCTTAATAGGAATACTTCTATTTAAAACTAATGTTTAAAAAAGAAAGCATGTTGGGTGCGTCGATCCATCCATATTTGTTTTTTCCATAGGAATTAAATCACAATTTACATATTCGACGTTACAATGTATTCAGTTTTAGTGAGATGAAATTTATTTTGATACTTATGATGATGGTGACGAATAATACGTTTGTCGATGATAAATAACATAAATGTAAAAAGTTTCAAATTATATTTAAAAAATAAAAATTTTGTTTGCATTTTTTTAGATCTTATCTTTTAATAATTCTATGGTGTTTTGGGGCAAGCAAATTTGTACAGTAATGTTTATGGTTATCAAATATCGCCAAACTACATAGGTAATGAACTTATCTTTATTGTAATCAGTCAAAACCTACAAATTATTTACACACGTGTACTAGATCTCTTTATGAAATAAAAAATACGTGGCAAGTCAACCAAGGAGAAGACCATTGTAAATCGCTCGTATCTACAATGTCCTCAAACAGAAATATATATTCCTTATTTGACATTCTTAGCATAAATTTATTAGGAAACTTATTGGCTTCACAGATGTTGACATAAAATTTTGCTAAATTGAGTCATCCCAATAGATTTAATCTATTATCTGATTTGCACCTTCTTAAATTGAGAGAAAACCAATATTTGTATCAAATACTAGTTGACTCCAGGTACTTATTTTAGATTTTTTCAAATGCTGATAGTGTAACTTCATACTAGTGATATATTCTACAGATCTTCATCTTCAATCCTATATTTGCGAGTTTGTGTATTAAAAACAAATATTGACGTGAATAGAATAAATTCTAGTTTTTCAAGTGAGTTGTTGGATACAAACCTTATTTGCACTAATTCTGTTATTTTTTAAAGTAATCAAAACGGTTTAGCTTCAACGAGTAATGTATTGATAAATATAAATTCATATTTAGACCAAGTGTAAATTATGATTCGCTTACCTCTTTAAGAAGTCCGTGTACTCGGCTTGCCGAATAAGACCAGTCCTCATCATGATAGTTTGGAAGCATTGGCGTTCAATGGCCCAGAGCCGGCAATCGGTGGCTGCCTTGATAGTGGCTGTTCTCTTGCAGTTGTAAAGTATGGCCAGCTCACCAAACACCTTGCCCGGAGCCATTGTGCTTAGATATTTGTTCTCACGTGACACCTCCACGCGACCCTCTGCGAAACAAATTTAATGTTAAGTAACGCAAGTATTTAAGAACTATGCAATTCGCTTATAATTGCTAAAATCTGTTGCTTTGTGATCTGAAAACATCATCATTGATATTTGAAAAGCTTATAATTTACAATTTAAGAGTATAGATAGTAGAAATAGTTATAAAGAGGGTAAAATGTCTAAATAGTTCCACGTATAGATTTTGAAAGAGTTTTGTTTCAAAATAATCTAGATCATCCTACTAAATCATGTAATTGTTATGCTTCAGTGATCATGCTCACAAATTTAATATCGTTGATCATTTTTGATGGAGTTTTATTTTCATGGCCGTCTAGGCTTACAAACGTGATACCGGACGATTGCAATATCACACTAGAAAACTGTCACATAAGACATTCAAATACATATATTATTTCCATTCAAGGTTATATAGCATATTTGGTGTCCGCCTGCATGAGTAAGCTAGCTTGTTTATAAGATAAAAGGCAAATTATTAATAATCAAACGATAATCTGTTTCCCTTTTATGGCTTAGGAATTAAGGTTACAAATTGATAAACCAAACTTGCTTGATGATCAATGCTATGATAAGCGTGAGAAACAACGAGTAATCGTGTGAATTGATTGTTTTTTGTATTGATATTATTGTTGATTAATATATAATTCTACTGACCCGGATACAAAATAAGGTTATTGTACATGTCGTTTAATGACATTTGCTTTGTATTTGCATTTATTACGCACTTATTATATATCGCTTCATATAGCTTACATACAGGCATTTGTTATTTAAGTACCGTACGGCGATTGTTAAATAGTAATCATCTGAATACGAATCCTACCTTAAATTATTTCAAATGTCAATAATTTAAGGTAAAAATTATTTAAAAAAAAACACACAGCGTCTTGTGAGAACCGAGAATCAATATTTCATAATTCCGACTTCGCACTACGCCAACTGCCTGCCGAGGAACGCTCGCTCTGCTCGCTTAGCTTATGTTTAAAAATTATACATATTTTTATTAAAAAATAAAAACAACTAGAAAATACCCACTATCTTCTACGTACTACGCTAATTATTACCTACATATCTAAACTTTCATAGTTACTTAGTTACTGTTTTAGTATAGTAAGAACAAAATCATCTTCTTTATTCCTCAAAGTTCAAAATTCAATATGCAGTATGTTGACATATAAACTCACATAAATGATACTTTTCAGACATTCTGGTTATTTTTATCAGTAGAAGATATGTATGTGATTGTAAAGATGTTGGAAATGTTGCAATCGAGGGTTAAAAAAAAATTAAATTGAATTATTTAAAAACCATTATGGTTTTTAAATAATTCAATTTAATTCATTTAATGAATCTATCAATAACAATCTTTGAAAACGTAAAAGATTCTACGATCAGACTAACCTCGTGTATTTAAAATTTCCTTGTTTACCATTATAAAGTACCATTATAAAGTAAGCGAGTATGTATGTTAATACTTTTACATACTTCAACTAATATGTAGGACACCGTGTTTTTAAGTAATTGTTCAGCCTAACTTACGTTTACCTGGAAGAATTTAGCGACAGTTGCTGGTTACTGCTAAAACGTTATTAAAATGGTTAAATAAATTTATAATAAAGTATTCATTCATATTTAAGTAATATCGGATCTTTTACATTGGTAGCCATTCAAAAGTTATTTTACTGAATAAGTAATGTATGCGAAAATTGATATAGGTAGTTAAATAACATTGTAATGTTTTCATGGCAACTTCTAAGAAACTTTGTGGTAGGTTAGTGATTATTTATAAGTGAATATTGAATACCATTTGCCTTTGTCGTATTCCAAAATCTATTGTAACAGTTTTCAAGTTTCCTTGTTCATGTGTAAATGTGTAATAGATTTTTTATTTACTATTTTACTACCTACTGATGTAAAAACTTAGTTATTTTATTTACAAAAAATAATAATCTGTCTAAATATTAAATATTTATAACTATTTAACATTCAACATTCTTATAAGTAGTATACTTGGAAACAATTTTCTCATAATAAAATATCGTTGTAAGTTTTTTGTTGAAGAAGGAAGTCGTTAAAAGTGTTTGTTATAATATGACACATTTTTCTTATTTTTTTGGAACAAAAACTGTTGTTATAATATGACACACTTTTCTTTTTTTTTAGGAACAAAAACTGATTGTGAATGACTACAAAAGATAAGAATATCTCAATTCAATGTATCCAATTTATTTCAATATAATAATAACGTATTGAATTTTAGCAATATGTATTGCAGTATGACAAGGAAGTATTAAATTCACCAATGTACCAAATATTCTGCATGCCTAATTATGGCTTATGGTAGGAAAATTTGTATCGCGTTCGACGTAATTAATTGTTTTAATCTATTTTTTTTACAATAATTAAAATAGTGATGGGCACATACATCACTATTTTAATTATTGTAAGAAAAATAGATCTACATAATACGCGAAGCAAAAAATTCGTTCCTCTTTTTACGAAAACTGCGCGGGCGCAGAACTATGACATTTGGCACCAGTTAAAGTTTATATCGAGATAAATTGCAATTTTACGTTTTATAAAATAATACTTAAAGATACATTCGATTATTAATAAAAAAAATCTTTAGGGATCATCATACAGAAAAACATTACACTTACTACTACGATATTTTTTTGTTTGCTAAATGTCCAAAGGTCATAATGACCTTTGCTTTGATAATAAAAACTTATTACTCGGTCAAACTTAACAGTCGAATTTGAATAACAAGCCAACAACTAGTTCATATGTAGATGTTTCATTTAACTCATTTATCTAAATAAAATAATCATCTGCATTATTCTTAACCCTATCGATATTCGGTCAAAGGCGATAAATGTAAATGAAAAAGCCGAATTCCCAACGCTATAATCATTTTTATAGTAAAAAAACTATATACAAGTGTAGTCGGAAAAGTCGCGGCAATAAGAGATAATTGTTTTGAGATTGTAGAATTAATGTTAAATATTCAACAGCACTTTGAGCTATCAAAACATGCATCAGTTTTACTCGATATAAGTTTATTATAAGCCTAAGCAACTGGCCGTATTTACCAGCTACAAAAATTTATAGCTATTATTCGGTAATATTCTAAACATTAAAAAGTGAAAGGCAAATGGGTTACAACAACGTTATCAAGTTTAACAATATGTAATATCTTTAAGACCCGTTTAAGAAGTGACTTTATAGAATGGTAAATCTATTTCTTAGGATCAAAGTACTTTCTAGAATATGATAACATCATTACTCTTTAGAAAAGCTATAAAGAAAAGAATAAGGCCACTGATTATATGGAATTATGAAATGACTACACAGCATCTTTGTTAAATTATTACAAAATGAAAATTTTCCGCAATCGTTACTAAACCTAATATAGATCAATAACGGTTTAAAATTTAGTAAAGAAATTCATATAAGCTTATGTGTTACCGACTTAATATTCTACAGCTTCCAAAAATTTTAATAATTAAAAACGAATTTATTTGTCGTTATATTTAGGGCTACTATTTAAATTATATCCTATTTTCTGCATAAAAAAATGTAACTAGTTAGTAGTAATTATAACAGTTATTAAGTACGTTAATAACCCAACACTGATTCTAGCATATATTCGTGCATAATTTAACCTTAAAGTGGAACAGAGCTGTCTTAGAATTAATATGCCACCGTCGTTCGGTTTAGTAACTAACATTTATAAAATGGCAAACGCATTAACCAATCTGGTTAATGAATTTGTCGGCTTGCTGACACATTAAGGTGATTGCAGTAGTTGTAAATGTAATTGGAAGTTCTTGCATTCAAACATTGAAATATAAGCAGGTTCTAACTTTAATACCCTGAACTAAGATATGTTTATTGAGAAAAATGTTAAAGGTGCATAAAATATTAAGGCCAGAGAACGTAGACTCTAATATAATTAAGAATCAAATAATTCCTTGAAATATAGGGCAATATAATGTTTTAGAATAAGAAAGGAAAATAAATCGAGTAACAAAATTCCAAAGTTTACTAAATATATATTTCAATTAATGGTAAACGAATGTCAGAAGTTCTAGACCAAGATGTTTATAGAACTGATTGCCCAACTAACGGTTTTAGTAGATTAGCTTATGTTCTAAATGATTTAACATGTACGCACTCGTTAAATTGTAGTAATCAAACAAATGAGTATTTCGTAAATGAACGCTGGTATTTCTGTAAACTCTATTAATTTGTAAGGTATATTTATTTATTAGTGCCACATTATAGCTAATTTGCTATTTAATTATGCAATTACAATTAAGACCGCATATCAATGCCTATATACCTTTGATCAGCTAAGTATACTTGATGCAAAATCTATTTAACTTAATTAATTATTTCATTTTCTAATAAAAAAAAATATATATTTAAATGATAGAAGGTCAACAAACATTAACAATGTAAACATAGTTACACCAAATATAATCAATCAAGATTTATAAACTTAAGAAAACTGTTATCTTATGAAACAACAATTAACGTACCTTGTTCCTCATTTCTATGATGCTTCTCAACGGGTTTATTATTTTCTTCTAAACGGGTAACATCTAAAATTATTCCCGCATCTAAAGAGGATTCCGTAGCGTTACTATCTCGTTGACATAGGTTTCCAGTTCTTCTTTTTCTCGTTCCGTATGTATGAACTGGCACAATCAGCTTTGGTCGGGGTATCGAAAAATCAGAATCCGAACCACTAGATGAACTTTTAGCACTTCTTGTATAAACACTGTTGCCATTCGGCACGCGTTCCTCGCTGATGCGATCTTTCGACACACCGAAAGACATAATGTCATTGTACCTATCATACCTATCATCACTTTTCACTCTCACTGTATTGTACAACTTGCCATACTTATCACGTTTAATTTGTTTCGTAACACCGTTAGTAGTCCGAGAGTCACTTTCTTTTGCTGAATCCGCCAAAGCTAACCCGTTGCTGGCGGGTGAAACATGATGTCCATTGTATACGTCATATTGCATCATTGTCAGCTGTTCACTCGGAGATAAATTTCTTTTTGGTTGGGTCACAGTTACACCGTTGCTCGAGTTTTCGGGTCGCACAGAGTCAAGATAGGCCCAAAGTGGGGCCCTTCCTTCACTTTTTACTCTTAATGATTTAGAACGGAAACTCGGTTTAACGTCTTCAATACGTCCGTTTCGTTCGTTCACTGGTTGCGTTGTGCAGTTCGGAAGTTGTTCGCATGTAGATAATGACCCATTAATAGGTCGCATGTAAAGACCTAAATCTTCCGGCTCGCAATCTTCAACCGCTCTTTGCTGCCCTAATTTAGATTTCATAGGTGTTAAGTCCAATGTCGCCATTGTATTTATTATCTGATACATTGCGCCTTTTCCAAAGCCTCCAGAGTTAGCGTTGAAGGATTCTCCATTGGGGGAATTTGGAGTAACAAAATCTTTTTTGTTATCTTTTTGCAGTTTTATTTTATCACTATCAGTGTCATTGTTTTGTTGACTAACTCTAGAATAATACTCATAATAGGATTCTGATGATGGATCTGGTGGCACAGGGCCTGGGTCCGGTAATGGGTAATAATTTTTCTTTGAATCTACCTTTCTTTGTCTATGGGCATACTTAAGCGAATCTTTACGCTGTGGTGGTACAGGCGCTTGTTTCCCATTACTGGTAAAGGCATCAATATCCCATTCGGTAAAATTTCTCCGTTTTACTCGCTTTAGGGTAGAAGGTCTGTATCCGTTCGGCATATCTTTAAAACTATAACTATGCTTCAGTTTACTTTGAGCAATTAGATTATTATTAGCGCGAGCTTTCTGTTCTATATTTTGTTGGTATTTGGCTAATTGTGATATGTTTTCGTTAGGAACATTGGTTGAGTAGCACCCACTATCATCCGAGTATAGTTTGCCTTCGTAGTTTATATTACTATTGTTGTGACCTACGTCTCTACAAGATTTACTTCTTGAAATCGAATTATATTTTACCTTTTCTGAACTACTATCATTTTCATTATAATTACTGAGATTCTTTGCTCCTACCCAATTAGCCGCATAAACCAGATCCATAGTTCTGTCTCCAATAGAAAGCCACGGGTCTTCCATGACCGCTTTTCCAGGGTAATGTTTCAATTTCATTTTATTAAAGAATGTGTTGGAGCCGCGTTATTCCTGGAAATGGAGGTGCGCATTTTCAATGTCCTGTTCAATTTTAGTAGAAGAAATTCCATCTTTCCATTAACCAACTCTTTTGTTAAAAATAAAAATTATAGGCGCCGTTAATCTTCGCACGTACAATTATTTATTAGTGTGTTATCCAGCAATGAAGAGATCTGTTAGACACAATATTTCTTTAAAGATAGATAGATATATTGACTAAATTGTACAACAACATTTCAATATTAAGAATTTTTAAATGATATACACCTTTTATATGTATAGTTAGAAGTTTAGTTAGTGTATTAAATTAAATATAATTGAAAGTTCTATTGATAAAATTTAGTTTTATTGCTAGTTATTGCCTACTTTAAAAAATCAGATATGCCAACTTCCCCTAGAAGTACTTAACATACCTAAAGTATAATAAACCTTATAAAAATTAACAAAGATAAAATCAAACTATATTATAACTCCAAAAATAAAATATTTTTTGTAAAAGATATTGTTAGCTATTTTGGTACCCATACTACCACCAAAGAACTTCGCAAGAGCGGATGCGTCACGGGACGCAAGCACGTATTGAGCAATACCCTCTTCTCTACACCACTAGTCACAAGGAAGTGGTAACTGGGTCTCCAGAGTCCATAAACGAAATGATATTACACAATAAACAAATAACGGAGCCTTATAATTTATATACATTGCATAATTGTGTCTTTTTAAATGCCGCGCTTTCTCTAAAACATTTAAATACTGGAGAAAAATTGGGAGATACCTATGACCAGAAAGTTCATGTTGGCAAATGTTATTTTAATTAAAATTCAGACACATTATTGAATCGAGTGCCGTTTAAAACAAATGTGTGGCAATAATTAAACGCATGATCGAGTTAGTAGGAAAAGATTTCTCGATATCAGCGAACGAAGTACAAACCAGTTCAATGGTCCACATATTCAACCAACTGGCTAGCGATGATACGTGAGAAGCACATCCAGGAACTTGAGAAATCAGCAATATCTCTTTGACCATAGACCATCTTTATTGCATATATATATATAGTATTGGAAATTTCACCTTAAGATTTTATGATAAATTTGTACCTATTACTCAAAATTTTGCCCATTGTTCATTTTAATGACATTATATAGCACAACATGTGGTAAAAAAAAAGAATGTATCATACACGTATCAATGTGTTAAGTCAAAGATGAGGTCGAAGCGTTGTAAGGCAAACATAAATAGTACCAGGAGTAAATGAATCATTGAATGATTCAAATTCAGTATACAAAAGGGTTTTATTCTGACACAACGACAGAATCAGACTAGTCTGGATTTAGGCCTGTAACGGTAAACATTCTAACTATAAACAATGGTTACAGTCTGTCCTACTGTTGCTCGGCCGTATACGATCACTGAATCGAATCGATTAATCGAGTGAATGCATTACGAATGACTAATACACATATGTATTTTGTGACTAAAATTATTTTAGCTGTCACTCGGTGTTAAAGAAGAACAAAAAGTGATATTTCTGAAGATTTAAAAAATAAAACATGGCGGCTACATTTAACGACTAACTAATTCAGCGTATACCAGCAACAACAACTGCTCTTTCATATAACAATCTACGGGACATCATAAATCAACTTTCTACGGTCCGATGACCCTTATGATGGTACCCACATACTTATTATCCGATAAAATCAATCTATGAATGCGCTGTGGGCATAATGTCAGACAGACAAAACGTTATCAAATCACTATATTATTTAGATGATTCTATCACAGTAACTTTCTAACGTTTGTTTGTTTGGCTTAACGTGACAGTGATCTGCAATATTTTGTCTAAAAACAATAGGTTGGCAGGTAGACACCGATAAATTAATAAGTCATGGAGGTGCAATACCGATTTCATCAATATAATACGCATGAATCGTTTGACACGAATCCATTAAATTACCGATATTACTGATCAGGTTTTTTACTAGTTCAGCGAAAATTGGTTGTTCGCTGTTTTAATGTAAATGGTGTCAAAATAAATAAAAAAAAACATTAATTCTAACTTTTTTGTGATATTGTCAAAGGTAGTCTTAGAAAGCTGGCCTTCCACATTAGTATGCTAAATTATTATCTTTGCAGAGAAGACAACGCTCTAAAATACTTTCACGGCACACGAGTAATGCACGCAAATAAATCGGTTGCAATAACCTTGTGCAGAACCTTCGAATTAGAACTTTCAATTATATTGAGACAAACAAAAAACAATCTGCAAACAATAGAAACGAACATAATGGTTGTTTTTATTTATTCTATTTTATAATACTGCCTAAGGAAAACATACAGAACCGGTTGTTAGAAACATAACGATTTCTATGGTCTTGTTATAAAAGCAAAACAAAAAGATAAATGCAAGTTTTGATAATATGAAAATTAGTGACGGTAAAAATGTTGTTGTAAATTTAACGAAAACTTAGTATACGAAAGTTATCCCAAATCCTCGGATTAAAGTGAGTGTAGTGACAGCTGCACTTCCGTGAATAAAAAACACTATGGCGTATATCACAATAACACTAACACAAATTACCATGATAAAAATTGAACACTGTCTTAATTTAGTTTCATTGAGTGAATACAAACTTCGTACGGAACATTGTTTGTTTCACAATGAACGCGATCGCTACAATTTAAAATTCAAAATACGAGACGAGGACATAGCGACTAGTCGCGGTAGAGTCGCGTCGCTTACTGCTCCACTCCGATTCGACCGACTCCTGCGCATATGGACAGACAGCTGCGCGCGAAAGAGCCACTCAAATGACAGAGACGGAAAATTTACCTGAATTATTTACAAAGCTCCGTATTAATGATTATATTAAGATGAATGAGAACTAAGTTATGGGCGTTGTCGAGGTGATTTTATAGAGATTACATTACTCAGGTGATATACTCGTAATAAAGATAGTATTCGACAAGTGTTTGTGAGTACAAAATTCAGGCATACATAAATTTTAAATTAAATAAGTAATCTATTTAAACAAGTGAAAACTTATGCCTACCATTTTAGGAAAAACCAAACGTTATCACATTAATTACTGCAATCTTATAAATCTACTAAATACTGCACACAACGGAACAACAAACGGACTCAAAAGTGGAACGACAACTCTGTACGATCTTTTGATTATAAAATAAGTGAATGTAAATAAAAACTAAGGTGAATCTGTGCAAACCATCGCCCATGACCAATCGTGGGCTAAATGTTTTCGATTGAAGGTCGAGACCTCCAAATAGAACTTCGAGCGAACGCTCGTCTATTGTGGCTAGACAACGCTTTAACATCTTCGATTGATAATTTTAATTAGCTCTGAGAGCTTGAATTTATTGAGATTGAGAATCGGTTAATGATCGGTCAAAATAAAACATTTGATATTCTTATCGCGCATGGGGTACGTTGATTTCATTACATTTATGCAAAAACACATATTACAATGGTTTTGTTAAACAATTATTTCACGGTTTTCCCAATTCACATGCGTGAAAATAACAAGCGAAATAAATACCGTGACATAGCTAATTAGGAATCAGTTGTTTGTAACAAATTAAGTAATAAGAATCCTAGAAACGAAAGAAAGTCATATTTTTTTTTAGCTTTTCGCCATTAAAAGTCCATGTAGAGATATTTTTTATATTCAGTGTGTCTATGCGACAAGCTGACAACCATTCATTTATTACAGGCAATTAGTGTCACAGAGCACTCAATCCTTTATACTTGTATGCTTTTTTAACATAAGTGGCAGTGTGACTATTATCCATAAACTTTTTATTAATTATCACGTTTTACCTATGCAAAATCCACTTGCGAACAAAGTCCACTTTTCAAGAGAGACAGTAGACGTTTATTTTATAAACGATGTGTTATTAAATTTCGATTTAAAACACAAAACTGAAAATATGTGCTTACTAAAAATTAACGAACTCTTAAAAGACAAAATATATAACAGATTTTGCATACACAAAAATGATGTAATACACTTAAATCTTTATATATCTCTGACCATAATAACTAAAACAAACATCAACCAACTGTTAATGTGATGACACATCATTGTTACCATTTACGATGTAGTTTATAAAAACGACAGTGGATCAGATCAACGATCGATGAAATATCAAGAGAAAAGTAACTTAGAAACTGTAGAATCCATTGGAGCGAATGAACATAGTAAACGTTAAATTGCTACACACATGGTCGAAGCAGGATTTCACGATAATTGGAATTGACCATAATCGATAGTAGATTCACTCACGTGAAATAATGTGACAAGGAACGGTGTTATTTTGATAACGATGAACATAGAACATATATGAATCATGAAAGAGAAATATATTTAGACATATACAATCATAATTATTTAATCTCAGCATATACAGATAAATTTTTGCATCTCCAGAGTAACCAATAACTACAAACTCAGCAAAATGTCCAGGATATATGTGTAAGTTATATAGATTAATATTACTAATATGTAAAATTAGTAATAATAATCGTTATCATCATCATCATCAGCCGGAAGACGTCCACTGCTGAACATAGGCCTCCCCCTTTGAACTCCACGACGGACGACATTGCGCCAGCTGCATCCAGCGGCCGCCCGCGACTCGGACGATGTCGTCCGTCCATCTAGTCGGGGGTCGACCCACGCTGCGTCTTCCGGTTCGTGGTCTCCACTCGAGAACCTTTCGTCCCCATCGGTTATCGGTTCGTCGAGCGATGTGGCCTGCCCACTGCCACTTCAGCTTACAAACTTTGCGAGCTATGTCGGTCACTCTAGTTCTTTGGCGAATGTCCACGTTTCGGATCCTATCGCGCAAAGAAACCCCTAACATAGCTCTCTCCATGCCTCGCTGAGCGACTCTGAGCTTCTCTAAGAGGCCAGCAGTTAAGGACCACGTTTCAGTGCCATAGGTCATCACTGGCAACACACACTGGTTATACACCTTCGTCTTTAGGCACTGTGGTAATTTGGACGTGAAGATATCGCGTAGCTTCCCGAACGCTGCCCAGCCGAGTTGGATTCTTCGAGCGACCTCTTTGTCAAAATTTGATCTACCTAACTGGATTGTCTGTCCAAGGTACACGTAGTGATCGACAACTTCGAGAGTATCAGTTCCAATGACCACCGGTACGGGTACAACATGGACATTCGACATGATTTTCGTCTTGTTCATGTTCATTTTAAGACCCACCTGTTTGGAAACGATACTCAGGTCGCTGAGCATTGTACTGATGTGCTCCATCGATCTTGCCAAGATGACTATATCATCGGCGAAACGAAGGTGAGTGATGTATTCGCCATTGATGTTGATGCCGTATTCGCCCCATTCCAAGAGCTTGAAGACGTCCTCCAATGCATTCGTGAACAGTTTCGGAGAAATGACATCTCCCTGTCTCACGCCTCTGCGCAATTGGATTGGTTTCGTGCTCTCTTCCTGGTAGCGAATCGACATTGTGGCGTTGCTATACAAACGCTTCAACACTTCGACGTACCTGTAGTCGATTTGGCATCGTTGGAGGGACTGCAGTACTGCCCAGGTTTCGATTGAATCGAAGGCTTTCTCATAGTCCACAAACGCTAAGCAAAGTGGCAAATTATACTCCTCGGTCTTCTGTATAATCTGCCGCAGCGTATGTATGTGGTCTATGGTGCTAAAGCCTTTTCGGAAACCGGCTTGTTCGGGAGGCTGGAAGTCATCAAACCGGCGTTCGAGACGATTCGTAATGACCCTCGAAAACAGCTTATAAACGTGGCTCAGAAGCGAGATTGGTCTATAATTCTTCAACAAGGTCTTGTCACCTTTTTTGAAGAAGAGCACAACCACGCTTCTGTGCCACGCTTCTGGCGTCGTACCCTCGAGAATGACGGAATTGAACAATTTCTGGAGGACTAAGAGTACCGGTTTTCCACCCGCTCGCAAAAGTTCAGTAGTGATTCCGTCATCCCCCGGTGCCTTGTTGTTCTTCAGCTGTTTGAGTGCCATTCTAATCTCGTACAGGCTGATGTCTGGGATATCCTCGGTGTGATGTCGGGTCAGCTTTGCTCTGGTGTCCTGAGCATTGCTTTCAACGGGTTGTTGTGATGATGTGTACAACTGTCCATAAAACCTCTCAAGCTCAATCAGAATCTCCGGTTTTGAAGATACGATCCTGCCGTCGTCGATCTTCAGCTTCGTCATCTGACTCGACCCAGCAGACAAATTTCGTGCAAACACTTTGGAGCCTTGGTTCCGCTCTATTGCCTCCCTAATACGTGTAGTATTATAGGAGCGCAGATCGCGTCGCATCGATTTGGAAATTCGTCTGTTAAGTCGACCATATTCCGACATATCGGTTGAAGATTGCAGTCTCATATCCCTCCGGTCCGCCATCAACTTGAGCGTTTCGTCTGAGAGCTTTTGAGATTTAATACGGCGCGGGGCCTTATAGAACTTAGACCCCACAGCTTGGACTGTTTCTACAAACCCGTTGTTTATTTCGTCCACAGACTCGCATTCAGCTAGACACTGAAAGCGATTGTGCAGTTGGAGTTGGAAGGCTTCGGGGTCCATGATATGAGCAGCACTAGGACGGAGCGTAGACTTCATCAGACGTGACCTTTCGAGCTTAACATTGATATTCAATGTGCCTCTAACGATTCGGTGATCGCTACCGGTTTTCACCCTGCTGATCACGGAGACATCATTGAATATGTGCTTTCTGGTTGTCATGATGAAGTCGATCTCATTTTTTGTCGAACCATCAGGGCTCATCCAGGTCCACTTCCTGGAGGGTCTCTTCTGGAAGAAGGAGTTCATCGCAAAGAGTCCCTCCTTCTCCATGAAATCGACCAGCTTCTGGCCCCGGTGGTTGCGCCGCCCATACCCAAATCGACCCACCCTCAACTCATCGCCGTTCGAAGCGCCCAGCTTCGCGTTAAAGTCCCCCATTACAACGGTGAAGTAGGTATTAGTCGTATGTATGGCTTCAGAAATCTCCTCATACATAGCCTCTACCTCATCGTCGGAGTGTGCAGAGGTCGGGGCGTAAACCTGTATGACCTTCAGCGAATACCTTTCGGTAATTCTGAGTATAAGGTACACCACTCTGCTCGACACACTATCGATCTTCACCACGTTGTTCACGAGGGACTTGTGAACGAGAAACCCAACACCACCTTGAGATTTTTGATCTCCTTCCCGGAAGAAGAGCATGTTACCGGACTCAAGGATTACCGTATCCTGGCCCTCTCTTCGGATTTCGGATAATCCCACTATGTCCCATCGCAACTTGCTCAATTCTTCCTCCAGCTCTAATAGCTTCACGTCAGTCCTCAGTGTGCGGACATTGTATGTTGCCAGGGCCAGAGTCCGTTTGTGTTGGTAGCGCCTAATCTGCCGGAGATTCTTAGCACCCCCAATAATCGTTAGCTTATAGATAAATAACAATGATTGATCTATAAAAAGGGAAGATTTTATTGTTTGTTTGAATTGAATGGGATCCAAACTACTTATCAGAAATTCTTTTACCATTAGGATCCTACAATATCGCTGACGAAGATAGGCGATAAAATATTTTCAATGACTTTAAGAATTCGTATGAAAAAATATGTCGATGAATGATACGCTTCGGATCAGCGTTTGAGCTTTGGAGAAGGTCTCCGCAATGAGGACGTTAATACGCTCATGATGAGAACCCAAATTTTTAAAGAAA